GTGTTAGAGAATTATATCTCCTTAGTGTCTTTTAAGGTGCGGTATTGGAGATTATCTCCTTAGTACCTATTAAGGGACAGTATTGGAGATTTAGACTTCTTAGTGTCTGTGTAATACAATGTTCGAGTCGACAACACCCCATTGTGTGTACTAAGAGAAACCATAGTCCAAAAGTGAGATAGAACACCTTTGATCAGGTAATTCTATCACTAAAGGTGAGCTCAGAGCTAATAAGAGTGTTTATTAGTCTAAGGCGAGCCTATGGTTTCAAGTCAAGGTGATTTAGAGGTTCGGTCGGTAGTGATCATGCTATATAAGTGAAAAAGTGATAATGGAAAAAGTGATGAAATAATTGGTATAAGAAATGGGATGATTTATATTGAAGAATTTAAAATGAAACATGTGATATATGCTATGTTTAATGATATATTATGCTATGCTTTCATATAGTTGCATGTGATAGTTGTCAGTAGTGAGTTATTCTATTACTGAGATTTTTATCTCACCCTTGTGGTTATATTTTTACAAGACAGAGCAGTGATCAGGTCAGGGAAAAAAGTCTGCGCTAACATAGTAGTGCTGTGTTCATATGAAAGCTCTAAGTTTGTGTAATGAACTAAATTATTGTGTATATAAGTTGTCATAGAGATTGCATGCATGCTTTGAGTAGTGAAATAGAGAAAATGTAGTGATTCTATGAAATCTTAGCCCAATTGTGTATATATGTGGTGAAATGAGAATTAAGAGCTAAGATTTAGTTGTGTATGTGTTGTGAATGTTTGAGTAATGAACTTGTGGTAATTTTTTGGTGAAAAGGCTAAGTGAGCCAAATTGTGACAAGTTAAAAAATGTGAAAATTGATCGTTAGATAATAGGATCGACTTGAGTATTTGATACGTGAAATTCTTTGAAAAAGTGACTTTTTGCACCCCAAGTGTCCAAATTTTGATCGAACCATTAGATCATGTTCAAACTTGACTCATCGGTTAACTTATGAGTTAAGTTTCGTGTGAGCGCTTAAATCAATCCAATCGGACGTCGTATGTGAAAATGATGGACGTTGGAAGTTTGTCATTTTATTGTCAAATGACAACAAAAAATTCAGACTTGTGCGTAAAGGCGCATGGTGTCTCACACCATGGTGCATGACACAAATGAAAACTGGGTGTGTGGCTCTGTGCCACATGGCTTGCACACCATGATACATTGCCCACATTGTAACTTGACTTCTTTGTTTTTAAGGCATGTATTGTTTGTTATGAATGCATATAATGTGTTTCCACTGCGTATTGTTCAAATGTATTATGAATTTGATGATTTTGCAAAATGAGTTTCAGGCCCACGCTTTTCAAACAGAGTATTTAATCACAGTTATATGTGAGTAGGGTGGTAATTTAGTTAATCTTTTCCTGTATCTAACGGATATAGGAGAGGATTACAATAACCATATATAAGAAAATTTAATTATATTGGTTATCGTATTAGTGTCTCATGTCTTGTGTTTTGTGTGTTTGGTAATGTCAAGATGGACATTACATTATGTATCTATCAATTTTAGAGAAATACTAAGATAGAACGAGTGCACCACATTATCTGTGGCCTGTCCAATAAAAACATGACATTTAAATGACATTAAGTATAAATTGATTTTGATATTAATGATATTGAGAGAGAAAAGACAAAAAATTAAATGTACATTCTATTATAAAAATAAAATTAATTTAAAAGATATCACACAAGATTTTATTTAGATTATTTGGAGTATTTTAATTGGACAAATTATAAATGATGTGGTGCACTCGGTATACCTAAGTGTTTCTCATCAATTTTATTGCATTTGGTTGTAGTTTAAAATTTTTACATTATTGTATTTCTAATAATTCTAGAAATAAAATTTAAAATGAAATGAGATAAATTGTAATTATATTTTTATTCCATTAGTATAATATAATGGAAATTACATAAATAATATGTTAAAATACTAATTTATTATAATAAATATTTTTTTACAAATAATAAGGATATTATTATTGGTATGAAATTAAGAATTTTCTCTTTCTTCAGGTTTTATCTTGATTAGCCACCATAATGATAGAATATTATGTGGTTGTTTGATTACTTATTTTCAAAATAATTTTTTGAAAATATGTTTTGCATCATTTGTTCTGCAGATAAAAAGTTAAAATTCAAAAAAATTAAAGAAACTTTTTGTTTTGCAATATTAAATAAAAGGCAGAAAAAATCATGTTTTCATTAATGATAATTGTGTTAATAAAATAAAAATTTATTATTTGTTTTACAATTTTAAATATGTTTTCAAAATAATAATTGCAACATTTTTTAAATTTTTGTTTTCAAATTTATTTTGTAAAAAATTACTTTAAAAACTGTTTTAAAAATAAAAGCAGGAAAAAGAAATCTTAATAAACAAAGCCATATATTTCTTTATTTTTCTCTCCTATTATTTTTTTCTCCTCCTCCACCATCTCTTACCATTGAAGCAGAATGTTGGACTTTATATGAAAACAATTTTGGAGTTATCTTTTTCTGCCCTACCCCCAAGCGGAAGCAAAAATATATGGAATTAAAGTAACATATTACATATATTAAAATAAAAGAAAAATTTAAAAACTACATAAATTAAAAATTTTGTTAATATAATATTATAAAAGTATAATATAAATAATTTTTTCCATTGTTAATCGTGTGAGATATATTTTATCAAAAAAAATTTAATGGAAAATATTACATTCAAATATATGTAAAATATTATAATTAAATAAAATTTAGAAATAAAAAATAACAGAATTTTGAATTTTTAAATGTTTTGAACAACCAATAAGTCTAATAGAGTCAACAAGAAATAAGCAGGTTGGACTATATGGGCTTTGTCCTATTGGACTTTCTCCTATGAGCTCAATTATTTTAAAATTGACTCTTTTTTTAAGTCCTACCCTAATTTAACAAATTTGGCATAAGGTTTTTAAGCCTTTATTTATTTTAATTTTTTTAAAAAAATAATTTTTATATTACAATATTATATTTTCTTTTTTCTAAAATAAAATTTATATTGTTAAAAAAATAAAAAATAAAAAATATAAATTTTATTTTTAAATTATAAGCATATATTTTAAAGTCTAAATTTAATTTTAAAATTAAAAATATTTTCTAGGTGTAAAATAAATACAGACCTCAACATGTCACTTGACCTCAATTTTACATATAAAAAGACTAGGCTTAAAAGTTCGGTTACACAAAATTTTTTAGATTTTGTAAACTTTAACCCTAAAATAAGGGTTTAAATGGGTGGCACATCAAGTTTGATCCTTATTTTTGACACTAGTTATATAATATTCTCATGTAAATTAAAGCAACTACATATTACTCTAGACAAAAGTGACAAGCAAGGAGGCCATAGAAATTCTAAATAATAGGGAGAATGACAATTTTTTTTTTTGAAATGTGCAAATAACAAAAGAAGTATCACAAAATATGATAATTATTGTGGAGTTTTTAGGAAGTTTTCTAGAAATTTAATTTTTTTGTAAAATGACATATTTGCTTTCAATTTAAAATTTGCAAAGAAACACTTGCCATTTAGATATAATTATTTTCCCGAAATCAACAAAAATTGATCTAGTTGATAAGGATTTCGCCCATAGCCCAAAAAATTTTGGGATCAAATTTTACTATTAATATCAAGACTTTGTTAGTGGACAATCACTAAATACTTTATAAGCACTATCTGAATTTGAAGCATGTCGTAACCTTAATGAGTCCCTGAGACTTAATTTACCTAAATTTTTTGTCATAAAAAATTATGTTTCCAAATAAAGTAGTAACTTTTCAATTGTAATTAGTAAATGATTTTTAATGGTTAGACTTGATTCAAATAGAAATGGAATGCAGAAACTTGTCATTTTCTCTTCTACTTTAGTTAATAACCCAAATCAAGTAATTACTATTTTTTTGTTGGACTTGACAAAAATTTTTTTGCAAAGAGGCACTTGTTATTTTGTTATTCAACTGGAGTTTCTAGCGCATCAACTTTCAGTTGTTATATAAAGGAATAGAGAAAAAAAAAGATTTTAATGAGTTTAATTTATAAAAATAAGTAGAAGATTAAAATTTCTAATATAGGTAAAATGTAAAGAAGATGAGTAAATAAAATTACTTACAAATTTTAAAGCACACTTATTTATATAATTATAAAAATTATTGAATACTCTGTATTTTAAATCAAGTAAGATTTTTAAAAAAAATATTTTATATCATGACGTGGAATGAATATCTTTTAATATTGATCCTAAATTCATCATTCATTTTTTCCTTGTGGGTCCCATACCCACCTTATCATTGTGTCTTACAATCTTTTATTTTTATCTACAATATAATAATTTTAAAATTTTCTATAAAAATATATATAAAAAAAAAGGTTGAATCCAGCAACCATTCCACACAAAATACAATAGACCGGAGATTTTAGTCACTTACTAAAAAAAAAAGAAAATCATTCACATCGTATTTATAACTAGTTATTGATTCTTAGGAGTTACATTGGTAAACAAAAATGGCAAAAATGAACTTGTTATTATTTATTTTGTTTTAATAAATAGGCCAAACTAAACCGTTACACACCTATTGCAAAAACCTTATTATTTTAAAGATAACTTGATTTCTACCTCTTTTCATGCTTTTTCTATTACCTGGCATTGATTTTTTTTTATTTGTTGTTTTTCATTTTAAATTTTAAAATGAGAGCAAATATATTTATTTCACAAATCTAAAAACACTAAAATGCAAAGCATACAACACCGAACACTTCCTGAAGCCATTCTTGAATCTGCTAGGCACACTATGCAAGTACCTCATCCTATCAGTTCGTGTGGTCTTTTCGCGGATTGCCTTGTATATCCTCCTCCGATCAGCAGCGAAAGCACATGCCGCACAGCGACTCTTCTGTAGGTGAAAGCTGCGACGGCCACACTTAATTCTCACAGATGTTGTCACGGTATGTCTTCTGCAAATTTCCTTTGCTTTCAACATCGTCTTGTCACGGTATGTCTTCTGCAAATTTCCTTTGCTTTCAACATCGTCTGCATCTTCCTTCCTGCTTTCCCTCCCTGTTGCCCTTGCTACCAACTTCAGCTTTCGTTCCTATGGCTCAAATCCTCGCAACATTGAAGAGTCCATGGCTTCTTTCCGCGCCTTGCTTCATAGGCATCCCCGTCCCTCTATAGTCCAAATTAATAAGATTTTAGGATCCATTGCACGGATGAAACATTTTCCGACTGCTATCTCCCTTTTCGAACAAGTCGAATCTAAGGGATTCACGCCATGTTTGGTTACACTGAACATCTTGATTAATTGTTTCTGTCATGTGGGTCAAATGACTTTAGCTTTCTCTGCCCTAGGGAAGATTCTTAAGGTGGGGTGTCAGCCAGATACGATTACTTTGAATACACTGATGAAGGGCCTTTGCATCAATAATGATGTTGGGAAGGCCTTAGATTTTCATGATGATCTTCTAGCAAAAGGGTTTCAGTTAGACGTAGTTAGTTATGGCACCCTTATCAACGGGCTATGCAAAACGGGAAAAACAAGATGCGCTGTCAAATTGCTCCAAAAGATGGGTAGGGGGCAGGTTAAGCCCAATTTGGTTATGTGTAACACAATTATTGATGGTTTTTGCAAGGAAAAGTTCACAACAGAAGCATGTGATTTATTTCATGAAATGATTGATCAGGGAATGTCTCCTAATGCTGTGACCTACAACTGTCTAATACATGGTTTTTGTCTCATGGATAAGTGGCCAGAAGCTGCAAAATTGTTTAATCAAATGATACTTAAAGGGATCAACCCTAATATTCATACTTTTAATATATTGGTTAGTGCATCTTGTAAGGAAGGATGTGTCAACAAAGCTCAAGCTATTGTTGGCATGATAATGAAGAGTGGCGTGAAACCTGATGAAGTCACTTACAACTCTTTAATGGATGGATACTGTTTGATTAATAATGTTGGTGAGTCAGGGAAAGTATTCAATAAGATGATCACAAATGGTTTGGCTGCTGATGTTTTTAGTTATAATATTTTGATTAATGGACTCTGTAAACTCAATATGGTAGATGATGCCTTTAATCTCTTTAAAGAAATGAAGAGCAAAAATTTGTTTCCTGATATTGTCACCTATAACTCTCTTGTTGACGGTTTGTGCAAATCAGGGAAAATGTCATTTGTGCAGAATATTATTTATGAAATGCATGCTAGTGGTCATGCATCAGACATAATATTTTATAATATCTTGTTAGATGGATTGTACAAAAGTCATCATCTTGATCAAGCAGTTGCATTATTTAAGCGAATGGTTGACCAAAGAATTCAGCCTGATACATGCACTTATACCATACTTCTCAATGGTTTGTGCAACGGTAATAGATTAAATGAAGCGTGGTTCATTTTTCAATATCTTTTGGTCAATGGCCATCCTTTGGATGTCCAAGCATATACCGTAATGATCAGTGGACTTTTTAAAGCCGGTTTGTTTGATGAGGCAAAGGCCTTACTTTATAAAATGAAAGAGAATAAATGCCCGCTTGATTTTGTAACCTTTGATGCAATTATTAGACCCCTTTTAGGAAAGGGTGAGAGTGATAAGGCAAAGGATCTTCTGAATGAAATGTTCACTAGAGGTCTCCTATAGCAATAAAAGAAGGGTAGCAAATTTTTCTCCACATCTATTTAATTGTTGATAGTTGATAGTTGACATTCATATTCGTGATGAAATTTGTTGTAATATTTAACAAATTTGTTGCATTTAAGTAAATTTTGTGGCCTATATAATGGTCAGCTTCAATTGCCCATGTTTTGTTTAAATCTTATGTTTGATGTGTGTGTGTGTGTGTGTAATTTTGATTGTTTGTGGTTTCTGGTTGTTAGTTTTTCTTTGGCTTAACATGACTTTTTTCGTTCTTCCTTTAGTGTTAGTTACTAATTTGATTTAACAACTTCTTGGCGTGTCTCAATTGTTGTCACTCATGCATTGATTTTATTATTAATGTTAACTATAGCTAAGGTGATTTTTTTTTTTTTTGGATGTTGTCATCTGAAATTATTATCTTTTTGGAAATATGACAATAATATTTTTCTACATTAGATGAAAAGGAATGACTGAACTTCTTAGGAAGATGGGAGTAGGAGCATTGTTGAACTACTTAAAGAACTTGACAACAAACCTTTAGTGTATCCATTAGCCTATGTTCCTGTCATAAGTAAGTAATGACAAGACTTTAATGTGTTTAATTTTATATGCTTCTGTAATATGCCTTTGAATTGTTTAGCCAAGTTATGGAAGCTTCCACCCTTGGGAGCTGGTGCTTTGTCTCTTACTCATGCGTAATTCTTTAATAACTTAACTGTTTGATAGATATTTGCTAGCAATGAAAGAAAGCAAATTTGAGGGTAGTTTTTTGTGAGATATGGAATAATATCATGATGGATTTAGCTTGGTTCTGTTATTGTGGGATGCTAACTTTGGGAAAATGAATATGCCATAGTTAGTCAATTTGCCTTGCTTTTTTGTGGGCATCAATTCTGTGAGTTATGAGGAAAGGAAGGTGCTATTATATTGGACGTGGGTCTTGGCTTTACGTTGTTATTTGAAGTTGTGCAACACCATGAGCTTGTTATTATCATTTTGAAAATATGACAATAATATTTTGCTCGATTAGATGAAAAAGAATGACTGAACTCAGGAACATGGAAGTATGAGCATTGTTGAACTTCTTAAAGAACTTGACAACAAACCTTTCATGTGCCATTAGCCTATGTTCCTCTCATAAGTAATGACAAGACTTTAGTCTGTTTATTGTTATATGCTTCTGTTATATGCATCTGAATTGCTTGGCCAAGTTATGTAAGCTTCCACCCTTGGGAGCTGATGTTTTGTCTCTTATGTGTAATTTTTAATAACTTAATCATTTGATAGATATTTGCTAGCAATGAAAGAATGCAAATTTGAAGGTATTTTTTTGTGAGATATGGAAGAATATCTCAATGGATTTAGCTTGGTGCTGTTATTGGGGATGCTAACTTCGGGAAAATGCATATCCCATAGTTAGTCAATTTGCCTTGCTTTTGTGGAAAGGTGCTATTGTTTTGGACGTGGGTCTTGGCTTTACATTGTTATTTGAAATTGTGCTATCAGTTACACCTAATTGATTATTGATTGTAGAATAGTGTAAGTGGTTATGTGGTGTCTATTCGTTGATCACTTGATAAAGTTGCATTTGGGAGTGCCGTTGATGATGCATTGGGTGCTTGTGTTCTAGGCTTGCTTTTGGAGGGTATACTTGTTATGGTGAAGAGATCAAGAATGGAAGCATTGAAGATGAGGGCATAATCCAACATGAGTATATACCTCCCCCTTATTACATGTTTCATTTTGTTGGTGATTGAGTTGGGGTATGCAGCAGCAATTAAATTTTTGGTGGGAGGTATGCCTCCCAAAGAGGTGTTTGCAAGTTGCCAACTAGATTAGTACGGGTCAAAGATTTAGGATACTAGGGCGAAAGCTCAAATAGAGAAATATTAATAGGTGGAGAATAATTTGTGTTAGCTTCCTCAAATGCTTGCAAACTCTTTGTTTTTCTAAGCATGGAGTTTTGATCCTGAGCTCTGCTCATTCATAATTCTGTCTCTTCACCTGGATTAAGATGCTAAACTTTTCTATGGATGAAACTTTTTTAAATTCCAACCTTTCCAAACCATTTTTCCCCATTGGAAAGAGACATGAGAGATGCAAGTGTGTCTTTTACAAATTTGACGTTGTTGAAGAAGACATGGATGAACATGCGTTTGACTGACAAGGGTTACAGTACCCATGTCCTGTTTCTAAAAAATATAGGATGCAATTTTCTCCTTCCTTATTTGTGTTCCATTTCATTATGAAATATTAAGTTTCTTGAATCTACTCAAATTCACTGTGATGATGCTTGACAAAAGTCACAGGAATCTTCACTTTAATGCTTCCTTTCTATGGTCATCATTACGATTTATTATTCAGTGGTCTCGTACAGTTTGACAACTGAGTAAAAGGTGAAGTGAGCTATGTGAATGGCTCTCTCCAGTCCTTATTATGAGGACCTATTAACTTCTTAGATTAAGAAAATTAGTTAAAAGAAGTTCAGAGTCAAAAAAATGTGCAAGTTTTCAAAATTACCTTCAGTCAAGTTGAGATGAGGTGGATGATAAGAGAGGTGAAGGAATGATGTTTCTGGAAAAGAGTTGCAAAAGTTTCATTAATTTTTATTAAAAAAAAGTATTGAATTAAGTGCCGCGAGGATGAGCCATAAATTGGACCTGTCCATTGTTAATGATAAAAATATATCATGTGCTAGCTATCATGTTGGCTGTCTCTTAGCAAAATGCAGGTATATGAAGTTTGAATTATGGTCTCTTTTCACTGGCCCTTACAGTTGATTATAAGTTGGGTTAATGAGCAATACATCTCTTAAAGTATTGCATGAATAGCATCTTGAATTTTAAATTTGTAAACTGTGCAAAAATTTTTATCAACTTTTAAATTCTGAACATCTAAAACTCTGTTATAAAATAGTAGAAAATGACTATTATTTTTTAGGTTGTGAGGTCCACTCACACGTTGATGTCTCACTCATGAGAATAAAACTAGAGCAATCCATGAGCAAGCAAAAGTGAGGAACCATCTTAAAAGAGATAAACTGATGGAATATTAGTTGTTAATCATGATTAATTGTTAGTTAATCATGGTTAGTTTTTCTCATATGCCTATATATATGGTTGACAGATAGGCTTGTATGTTCCTCATTTGTTTCTCCCCATAGTTTGGGGTTGATTCCTTTAGTTATGGGTTGAATGTTGTAGTAAGCTTGTTGCTCATGGTTGATCAATATTATGGTTCAATTTCATTCGTTATTTTCTTCTTCTCAATTTGCTTAACATAGTAACATGGGTAGGCTATGATTTAGGCCGAAGAATTGTTGTTTGAACCAATAATCAATAATGGGCCCAATATTCAAGATTTATGACCCACTAAGAAGACTTCTCTCATCATCCAAGAAACTGGGCCAAATAATCAGGACCCGCTTACCCACAAAAGGATCCGAGTAGAACCCTAGAACCATGTTCATTGCATACGAGTTTGGTATCGCGTCTTAGCCTTCTATGTTTTGTCGTTGAAGAAATCCTGATGGAAATGACAGCAAAGGATGCATTTTCGCTGGCGACCGAGACAGAAAAAGAGCTCTTCACCAACCATAGTTTTGTTTCAACATGTAAGATTTACATCAAGTAAAAATCAAAATTAACTTTTTTAATGATAAAATATTCAATGTATCATTTTTGAATATTTAAAAAAAAATTATATATAAATTTAGAATAACAAATTCTCTTAAATAAATAGTTGAGTAGTAAAAATGTCCTTTAACTTCTATATATATATCTTCTATATATATATATATATATATATATTTTAAAGAATTGACTTTCTTCCCCTTACCTATCTCTTTGCCTGCTCTCATGTCTCCACTTAGCTTCTTAACTCTTGCATCTGAATTTCAATGATTAAGATTTAATGTATTATAAAATTATTATTATTATTGTAATATTAAATAATAAATAAATAAATTTAAACTGTTAAATTTTATAATATGTTATTGAAAAAAATAAATCTACAAGTCCTTCTAATTCTTTGATTTTAACTTAGATTCTTGCAGTTCATTTTATTTTAATCAAATTCTTATATTTTGATCCATGGAAAGTTAAAATTCTTGAACTTCTCATTTTTATTTTTATTTAAAGGTTATATAATTTTTTAAAGGTTATATAATTTTAGAATTTATATAATTAGGTTATGTTTTCTAAATAATTTTTATTTATTTATAATTTTATAAGAAATTAATAAAAATGTAAATATTGTATTAAATTAATTTCTCTCGTTTTTTCCCTAAAAGTATTAAATCGCGTTTCATAAATTTTAAAAGTGCTTTTGTTTTGACAAAGTGAACCACTTATTATTAATAATTTTAATCTTTAAGACTTGTTTGGTTTTTTGAAGGATTAGAATGGAATAAAATAAAAAAATAAAAACAAAAATAAAATGATGAAATATGAAGAAAAGGTATATAAAATATTTTCATGATGAGCAACAGATAATTTAATTCAAAAAACTGATAGTCATGATTCAAATGTAATGATTCTCACTCACAAATATAATATGTGATATGGGATCTTATCATATTTACTACAATGGGAAAGATAATTTAATTCATTTTTCATTCTTTCTTTATCTTGTTTCATTCTCATTCTTTCTAGTAATCAAACACATTACATGATTGAAGCAAAATAACTTATAAAAACTTACTTCAAAATCAAGAAAAACTAGGACATGCAAATTAATTTTCACTATATTATTTAATATTATTATTATAAATAAACTTATTGTTTAATAGCATAATACTAATTTTATAAAACATTAAATTTCAATTATTGAAATTGAGATCCAAGAATGAATAAGCCAAGTGCCAAGAGGAACATGAGGAAGGTTAGGTAGGTACTTTTATACAATCACGGCAAAAACTTGAAACATTTCACCGAAGTTTGATTTCCTTACTGAATTGCCAAGTCACAGTGAAGGAGTTTATGGTCACAATCAAACACCTAGGTTTCGAAATATAGCCAATACATTAAAGGATGCAGAGTAAACTTATCCCTTGGAAAAAAGGAAAAGTTCCTAGATTATCAATACAAAATGACGACTGGGAAATAGCCGAAAGATACAGGAGTAAAAAACATCATCGACGAGCACCTCAGTTCAGAATACAGTTTGATATTAAATAAATTGTAACCCATAGATAACCTACCAATTTTAAGGAGGAAGTGAACCGGTGAAAACGAGATAACTAACTATACTTGTAGAATACAAAGAATTAAATAAAATTGAGTCCAGGAAAACTACAAAGTATCTGGCAGGCTTCATTACATCACCATAAGATTAACACAAAGTTATGTTTAGAGGAGGATATGATCACCCTTTACATCATTTTCTCATCTACAGTCAGCATTTTACAGGTGTCAGAAATAGCCATAAATCATTCTAACCTAACTGACAAGTTAGAAAAGCCAGGAGCAGCATAGCCTAGTGACAAAGCCATAATCAAAATAAAAGTCGTCACTATGATAAGAACGCTAAGATCTAACTGGTCAGATTACATAAGCCATATCAACATGTTCCCAGAAAGTACTGTACTGGAATTAACAGCAAATAATTTGCGACTGCAACCAAAAGCAAATATTCCATTAGAATTCCATGCATGAATATTATTTATTGAAATAAACCATGAAGTTTTATGGAGGCCATTCACTTTCTCCCTCATGAAAACTTCAGACTATCATAATCGGATCTTAATGCGTTCTGTAAATTGTTTCTTACATTATTCAGCCATTTCCAGAGAATTAACAGCACACAGCGAAACCATGTTAAAAAAGATCACACAATAGATCTTTTGACTGATTTTTTTTTCTTTTGGCCAGAAATCATTTGATTGAATTTAAATGATGAGTCTATGAAACTGATAATGATCAGAAAAGATAACAGAAATCATAGGAAACATAAGTATAAAAATCTACCAACCATATAATTTTATCCGCTTCATGATCTTCTGAATATATGATGACGACCCAACACTTCTGGTATCCCCAATGCTGTGATGCTCTCACAGCCAAAGATCTCCCGAAGCTTTGCATCACATATTATTGTCATTGGATTCCGCGGATCCTATGAGTATATTGCAGAATTAACTCAAAAAGTTGATTCCCAACAATTTTCACCCGAAATAATTTGCAGTTTATCCATTATAAAACTTATCCCCCAGGCAATCTTGGGAAAATCAAATTCTTGCATGATCCTTCACTCATCATAATACTCACCTCTAGCTGATTGACCTTTATATACTCCCAAATACGTCGCAAAACCTCAGACTGAAGCATTTCCCTTCCAGTAGTGCCAAAAAAGTTAGCAAGTGTATCTGATATAATTACAGAGAGTGGAGCAGAGTCAGCACTTTGTGTTCCTGACTCCGCATCTGCCTTCTGCTTCTTTCGAACTGGCTGTTCTGAAAGTTAAAAAAAAAAAAAAATGAAGAATTCAAACAGTGGTGCTAATGCACAATTTCATGAATATATACCCATGATATCGATACCTACTTGTTGGTTCCAGGGGGATGATGTGTTTAGCTAGCAACTTGTTCATCTTAAACATGTCAGTACAATCTGTCTCAAACACCACACGCAACTCATCATTGCAAATAATTTTCCTTTTGTTGCTAGGGTCTTGGAGATTGTTTTTCCTTATGTAAGCCCACAGTTGCTTCACAATCTAAACACAGCCATATTATAAATTAGTAATCTTGCTAGAAACGTATAAAAAATGAGAAAAAAAGTTAATGAAGAACTTCAATAATATTAATATGAACCTCAGTCCTTGGTAATGCTGGCTGGCCAACAATAACCTGCAGTTCAGGGGAAACGCCACAAAGTTTGTTGAGACCTCCCGGACCACCTCTTCTCTTTGTTTTAGTTTGCGTACTGCAAGAAGAAAGAATCCATTACTTATAAACCAGTCAATCATCAAAGTCATGTTTGATCATTATATGATAGATCATGTAAATGGACACAACTTTGAAAAGCTGTTTATAGATAAGAACAAATGATTTCCATCATCAGTAAACTTGACACGATTAGAAAATTGTTGAGAGGATTGTGCGTTATTCTGAAGAGAAATATCACCAGCAATAAAGTTTAAATGCATCTGCCAACTTCAATCATGCTTCTAAAAATACATTCCAAGCGCAAAACAGAGAGTTCAGACAGCAATAGCAGTATGCTTCAACAGAAGAAAAGCCAAATTTGAGACTATTGAGATCCAGTATAGAAGAGAAAAACTAATATAACATTATAACCGACAAAAGAAGCATTTGAGCTGTGATAATCTTTGTCTTATTTTCATTAACTATCCTCCAGAAGAGTTAGATAAAGAGTAGACAGATGCAATGATACTCCAAGAGACAGGAACTGGGATAAATTTCACACAACTGACTACAATCACAGGTATCAAGCAAAGTCTGCTATTCGATGCTGTAACTAACGTAATTAAACACTCAAAATCAAAAGCAATTGAGAGTGAAGTTATTTTCTTCACTGCGTACTTGATCACAGACTTAACTCTTTCTAACAGACCCAGTGGCTTACGAATTCTTAGAAGACACAATAAGATGCAGACAGGAAAAAATAGATGACTTCAAAATTAAATTACACCACACATTAGCAGATCCTATCCCTGACAAGCAATGAACTGACCCTCAGACCCACTATTGAAGCAGAATCAGTAACCCTAATCCCACTAGAGTTCACTGTCACTTTTTATTATATTTACTTCAATACTCTTCAAAATATACGAACAGCAACAAAATGAGAAACTGAACCATTTTTAAACCCTACCTCTCCTTGGGGGCCTCGGTGCCCAAATTACAGGGAGGTTCGCGACCAGTTCCATCAGCAGCTTCGGGTTTAACCGGTTCAGGGTGGGAGGCGAAGCTCTGGAATGCAGAAGTTACTGGAGCAGGAGGAGCGGTCTGAAAGTTAGGGTTTTGAGAAAAAACGATGTTGTCCTTCGAAGGGGGAAATACGAGTTGAGGACGTTGTTGCTGTAGTAAGGGCCTTGCCTGCTGCGGTGGCGGCGGCGGCTGCGGGCGCGGTGGGTAAGATCTGGAAAGAAGGTTGATTTGTTCAGTGATGAAGTCGAGCTTGTGGGTGAGATCGTGGCCGAGCTTGGCCTGAAGCTCCTGTACAACTTCGTACAAGGTGGAGAAGCTTCTTCTAGGGTTTGCATCCCTGAAGAGGGATTGTACGGCTTGAGATATTTCCTGGTCTGTAACCATTTTTCCTGCTTTTCAGTTTTCCCTTTTTAACTGAAATTAACGGATACTGCTCTCTCTCTCTCCCCTCTCCCTCCTTCCTCGTCTCTGTCTATCTCTCTCTCTATCTCCAAGCTTCTCTCTTTCTCTCTCTACACTCTCTGCCTTCTCTCTTTCTCTCTCATTGTCTCCGTTTGACAAGGATAATGACACAACCAATTTTTCGTAGTCTTGGGACACAGCGAGAGGATCATTGGTTGGAAAAGGTTCAATGACACATCGCCACGTGTCCCATTGAAAGGGGGTCCGTGACCAGAAAGGCTGGTTTCGTTTAAGATTTAAAAATAAGTAATTTTTAAATAATTTAAAAATTTTTATAAAAAAAATTTAGTTCATAGAAATTTTATAAAAATATTATTTTTTCTTAGTTACGATAATAAAAAATAATTATTAATTAATTATTTTTAAATATTATAATATTTTTTAAATTTTTATTTTTAAAAAATAATTTATTATTATATTATTTTAAAACTTTTATAATATTTTGTGTATCTCAACTTTTTAAAATGCTCTCTTTCATCTACAGTGTTAGATTATTTTCATAAGTAATTTATAATAGCTTTTTAAAATAATTAAAAATATATTTTTTTTAGATTGTAATTATTTTTAAAATTTAAACAAATATAATAATAATTCACAAAATAATTTTAAAAAAATTAGTAATTTTTTTATAAAATAAGTTAAAATAAATGGGCCTTAGAAATTAAACCTCCACTAGCGATATTTATCCTCCGTATCCCTGTTCATGACATCTAGAGCATTGAATTAGAATAAATAATTTTAAAAAGAATTGAAAATTAATACTATCAAGTGTTATTTGATATTTATAAAAATATTTATATTATAATTTAAAAAAATCATGCCCATAAAAAAATGGAGAGGATGAAAGTTATAAAATATATTTTTTCTTTCAATAAATTAAAATGACTTATAATTTTTCTTATCTTTTGTTGAATATCTTTGTACTTCAATATTAGTTATGATTATGAAAGAATTTATTTTATATTTTTATATATTGTTTAAAAATATTAAATTAATTTTAACAAGTCTGACTCAATTATAATCTAATTTTGAACCCTTAAATTAATGAATGCAGAGGGAAGTACCATTAGTAGATGTAGACATCTAGGTTCTAAAGAAATTACTACCAATCCTTTTTAATGAATATCTCTATACTTTTTTATTACGGCTTAGTTACTGCAGAGTTCATTAATATTCTTCATATTCAATATGCTTTGCTTCCTTGTTAGTAGAGGTGTTCGCGCGAAGGGACAGGACTGGGATATCCCTATCCTGTGTCCCGTCCCAAAAAATGATTAGGACTCAAATTTTGTCCCATGTCTCATCCCGTTTCAGAAGCCGTCCCATCTTGAAAGGAGTTAAGACATGACCAAGATGTACCGAGTCATGATGAGCTTAGTTAAATTTTGTGATTCAATCATTAAAGATCTTTCAACATAAATCAAATACTATAAATACAAGAAAAATTATAAAAGGTATCATTCAGAAGCAAATTATGAGAATAATGGTAGTGAAAAATACTACTTCCACTAAAAGCCATTAAAGTAGGAGATTGATGAAAAATTAAACATGCACAATGAGTCCCACACATATGGCTTGAATTAAAGAATCTTGTATATATTATACGTACCCTTCCTTTTTGGTGGCATAGGTATAAAATATGATGACCAATGAACTCAAGAAGTGTGAACTTGTGATGAAATCACCTTCCCTTTCCACCAAATCAGTGACAATAGCATTGAAAAAAGAAAAATAAGAAGAATAAGAAGGAGGCAAGTAGAGATCAAAGGCGAAGTTGAGACAGAGATGAGAAGGAGGTGACGCGTGATGGAGAGATGAGGCAGAGAGGAGAGGAGTTGAGACAAAGATGAGATGAACTGAAGGAGAATGATTGAAGCCCGATACCATGGTGGTCGCAAAACTCACATCATCTTGTGTGGTGGAACTGTGTGTGACTATGAAGAGTAAAGGTTGGATCTGGATGACTGGGAAGGAAGTGTGATAAGGTTGGGAAAGTGGGAAAGTAGGATTTGGGATAGTAGGAAAGTGAAATTCAAAGGCTAAGGGAGAGGCTGCAAGCAAACTAATGAACAATAGAATTTAAAAAGAAAAAAAGATAATATAGGTACTAAAACTAGGATGAGACGGGAAGTCTTGAAGGTGGACTTGAGTCCCATCCTATCTCGTGCTTATTTCTGTCCTATCCCGTAAAAGTCCCTCTCAATCTTTTTTAGGCCAAGATAGACCCGTCCTGATATAATCGAGAAGAGTTTGGGTCGATTGGGATGGGTCTAACTTGAACACCCCTACTTGCTAGGTAACTATCTTGGAACGGTTGATCCTGGATATGACAATCCTCTCATTTCCAAACATTTGTTGTATTCCCCAGTCGAGCTCAATTAGAGTTGAGTTTATTCAAATCAAGCTTATAGTATCAGACATTTTTAAAAATATAACCAAGCCCGACCCTAACATCTTTGGGATTTTTTAAGCCCCCCTGAATACCTAGAATTTTTTAAAAATATTTTTTATTTTTGAACCAATTTTAATTTTTAAATAATTTTATTAAGCATAAAATATTATTTTAACTTTAAAAGAATAAAGTAAAAAATAATAACTTATCAACTTTATACTTAAGTAGCTATGTTACTGTTTTGTTGTATTATATATAACTTATTCATGAATGTTTCTTTTACTTATAAATTAATGTCTTAGTTGTTTAAATATTGCTCTTATCATGATCATATATAAATTATTTTATATATTTTAATTAAATTATATTATTTTAATTATAATCAAGTTGATCTCAATTCAATCACGGTTAGACCTAACTTAAAATTATTGCCCCAATTAGTTCAAAGTTTTTATAACTTTTAGATAAATTGTACTTTTATTTTTAAGAATATGAGAAAAATAGCCATAATATGATATAAAACAAAATCATTTAATTATGAGTAAATTACTATTTTTTTGAATTTTTGTAATCTTTATATTGTTTAATTTATACATATAAGGGGTATTTACTCTGGTTTATCCTTAATTTTTAATCAAGTTTGGCATGGACAATAATCAAATAATTATTCAAAATATTATTATATTTATTATGTTTATCTAGTAGTAGAACTGGGAATTCATACAAACTTAAATTTTATTTTTAAAATTATTTTAAATTTTATTTTTACTTTCAAAATTAATTATCTTATTTTGTAAAAATATATAATATATTTTTTTGGATATGAAAATGATGTATAGGACTCAAAACTTGTTTTAAAAAAAATTGGGTCTTAAAATATTAAAATCGATATTAGAATATATTTTAAATGTTATTTTGAGATATTTTATTAAGTAACAATAATAAAAATATGAAAATATAAATATTTTTTATTTTTTTAACAAATAATGATAATAATGCACTTATATATATGGTATTTTAATATAAAATGAGATAAAACTTAAAAAATTAATTTATATTTATTTTACATATTTTTTAAAAGTAATTTTTTATTCAAGTATTCAAGTTAAGCCCGAACCGATCAGGCTTGGCCTGAATTTTTTCAGGCCCATTTGGGCCAACCTGAATATTAAAAAAATATTATTGTATTGAGCTTGGCTCTAAATTTTTTAAGAGGGTCTGGGCTGACCTGCCGAGCTTAGTTTAAATTGCTGACTCTACCATTGATAGAAGAATTAGTTCATGGAAACTCGAGATGTTGTCCTAGGCCTCACAGCTAACACTAGTCAAATATGTTCTCTTAACTTCTAATATTTATATTTTTTTTTTTGCATTAAGATCCTGAAGCACCTTTACAACATTATTGATGTTGAAGTGGTTGATTTCTTTCGGGGATTTAATGGTGATCATAAGGAGATTCATTTGTTCATGAAGGACTCACTTTTACACCCTATCCACTCATCAAGTAAATTTAGCCCTTTTTGGAAAACATATTTGGAGAGTACTTAAATTAACAACCTATATAACATCCAAAAATTTAAACTAAGCTTTAATATAAACTAGGAATTAATTGGAATTAATATGGGTGTGGGAATTAGAGTTTAAAATTGAACTTAAGGGAAAAATGAAAATATGGTGATGACCCTAGTGGATGAAGACATAATGTGGTGTCTCTATCCACGAAGGGACCTCACTAGAAAGTGTTGTCTTTTCTATTTACATTTGCCCGCAAATGAATTCTTTAGTAGGGATGACTGCTCGCAAATGAAAATAGAGGCAGGAACTTATTTAAGTGAGGTCATCCACGAATGGACAAACTTACAACATGCTATGACAACTCACGAATGAACTATCAGTTGCATTTTAAAAACTTGAAACTCAACAGAAAATAGAAAGAAAAGTGGGAGAATAGGAGAAGTCGATTAAGGCTATGCTAAGGCAAGGACTTTTGGCCTATTGGGAGTGCTTTGAAGCTATAAATCACTTGGGGTAAGTTTCTAATCTCTTCCTCTTCCTTTCTAGCTAATTTTTTTAATGAAAAGATGTTTTATTAAAGCTAAAAAGCTATAAAAAAATACAAACCTAATAAAGGTTACCTTTCACAACCTACCCTCCCTAACAACAGAGTGGGTTGATGGTAAAAGGTTCCAAAAGAATTAGAATTAAGTAATCCTAACTTGGTAACATCATTGACAAAAAAAAACTCTTTCTAGCTAATTTCTAGTTAGGTTTTATTTATGATAGATGGATAAAATAGAGTAGTTGAGAGTGTATAATTGTTGCCAGAATAATGGGTATGAATTATTTGGATATTTTACCCTATTTTTGTTGATTTGAGCAAACCCTAAGTTGTGAATTGGTAATGTGAGAATTAAATTAGTGGATAATGTAACATCATAAAAATTTAACCCTAATTAACCAAGTCTAATAAGGGTAATTAAGTGAGTTAATGTAGTGTGTGGCTAGAGAGGTCTAATAAGTATGTTGTGGTTGTGATTTTAGCCTTAAATTCAGGTCCAAAGTAAAGTTGAGTCACCCAAGCATCCAAAAAGAAGAAAATTTGAAGGGAAAGATTCTGTGCTATACGTCATGGTATGTAGTACATCTGCCATGGCACACTTGTGGCCATCAGCAAAGGAATTACTTCTC